CCAACGACACTGTGTTGGGTCAAGTGTGATAAATTTTATATTCGTCGGTAATGTACTCAGTGAAGTGAATATAGTATATATGTCTATGAACCCAATGTCTTAAGGTTTTGCATTAAGATGTGATGTTGGATCTACTTGATATGATGGTGTAGCTTTAGTTCATTAGTGGTTGTCTCCTGCCATGAGCTTCTCCTTGGACCCACCTGACAGTATCAGAGTCTGGTTGGGCTCGAGCTAGCCTGGTAGGAGCATATCAGATGTTGAATTTCACGCTTGAGTAGAGATTGTTGAGATATTGAAGAGTAATAAGTCCTACATTGATTGATAATGCGCTAAGTGAAGAGGAGTATATAAGTGGATGAATCCATTAACTCAATGCCTTAAGATTTTGGGTTAAAATATGGTATCAAACTCACTTGGTATATTTGATCCGCTTAGCCCATTGGTGGTGGTCACCGCCATGAGCTTCCCTTGAAGTGGTATCAAAGTCGGGTTGGGCTCGAGCTAGCCTTATGATTAACTAAGAGGCGGGTTGAATACTTGGGTCTGGATACTCGGTTGAGAGAAGCATACCAATGTTTTCACACTTGAGGGGGAGATTGTTGAGTATTCAAGTGTGATGAATCTCTCATTGATTGGTAATGAGCTAAGTGAAGTAAATTTAAGTGGATGGATCCATAAACTCAATGTCTTAAAGTTTTGGGTTAAGATGCGATGTTGGATCTACTTGATATGATGGTATAGTTTTAGCCCATTGTAAGTTGTCCCCCGCCGCAGGCTTCTCTTTGGATCCGCCTGACATATTGATTCCCACATTCGAAAACGATGAGTTCAATTATCTGCAAGAGTAGATTCTCTCATATTAAAATACTAAAGATTTGGTTATGTAAAATTTTTGTATCTATTTATTTTTTTACATGTATTAATTAATAGGTAAAGTCCAATTATTATTAATAAAAAAAGTTGTTAGACAAAAAAAATTTACAATGAAATTTTAATATGGGAGAATCAATTTTTTTCACATTTACCTTACAGAACCATCACACGCTCACAAAACATAATATCATCATTACGGGGTCTTTGAAAGAATTGAGGGCCGGGATAGAAGCAGTGTTTTAAAACTCCACCCCACCTCCCGGTTGACCCGTGTCAACCCTGATCCCTCCCCTATGAGGGTTGGGGTCACTGGTTGGACCCTATATACACATCGACCCCTCCAACCCCCAAAATCCGGCCGGATTTTAGTGACTCCCGGGTCAGAGCGGTCAAAGGGGGACACTGCATGTTTTTTTTTTTTTAAAAGAAATTCCCTGAAACAATGTCGTTTTATTGAAAAAATAAAATAAAAATGCTTACAAACCTAAATCTAATCGTTCTCTTCTCTCCCAGTGACCTAGACGTCTTTAATCTTCACCTCGCTGCCGTGAATCTTCTAGAAAAGTTAAGAATTTTTTCCCATTCAAATGAAATCCTTACAGTTGTTGATGGAAAATAAACTCATTCTTACTTCCTTTAAATTTTTCTTTGTCAGAGACCTTATTAAAAGAGGCAGAACCGGGTCACCGTAGTGACCCCATTAGAATATGAGTTTTGTACTTTAGTATCTTGATACTTTAATTAAGTTGTGTAATATTGACTTGTGGTTGTAATTGGTGAATTATGTTAAGTATATTTTGAATCGTAGATGATTGGTGGCTTGTTTTTTAATATTTTCATATAGGATATATATATATATATATAAAATCAGGTCAGCGTAGTGACCCCGTGACCCCTCGGTTGAACCCGTGTCCCCGTGACCCCTGATCTTGGTCGGGTCGATGGCCGGGCTGGGTTTTTAAACACTGCATAGAAGGCAGTGGAGATTCTTGCTTGAATCAATAACATATTATAGGGATTTTATTTAGGATTAATGGTGCGTGTTTTTTTTAAAAAAAAAAACAAAGGGGAAGTTATTTTGTTAGTTAATCAAGATAAATTTGTTGGGGGAGTCTAAATATTAATTTTTTATTTACAATAAAAAACAATGACATGGTAAAAAGAATTAATATGTTAATAAATTAATGAAAATAATTAACTCAAAAATAATACCATACTATCTCAAATTTAAGGGCATGTTTTGTGCATAGTATATGAAAAGGCCTGATAGTATAAGACTTGATAGTATAAGACCTGATTGTATAAGATCTGATTAAATTTTAATACTATCCAGTGTTTGGTATGATATTATATAAGATAATATCCTCTAATATTTTAAAAGTTAATATATTAAAAAAGTTTATTTTAATATATAAATATTGAAATTATATATTCGTTCTTGGGAATTGTACTTGTAAGTAATATTAATACATCAACCCCTTATCAAACCTAATCCACCACTCCCAGGCCGGATTAAGTTATACATCATTTTGATGTATAAAGGGATCCTGTTGTATAAGCTTATACTATACGATGATTACACCAAACAACTGAAAATGTCATAACGTATAGTATAAACTTATACTATCATGCCTTATACATCACACCAAACAGTCCTTAACGGTAGCAGAAAACTTACTTGTATATTATTGTACAGAAAAATATTTCTGCAGTTACTGCAGATAAATTATCTGCATTTATTCCATAAATGACGTTGTTTTGGGATTGAAATATTAAAAAATTATAATTATAAAGATTATAATATATGCACGGACACTGACACGAGACACGACACGACACGCCGAGAAGTTAATTCTCAAAAATGGCATATTTCGACACGTTGGGACACGTTTTGATATTAAATAATATTTTTAATATATATAATATAATTTATATTTAATAGTTATAACAGTCCATAATAAGTCATATAACCAATCAAATATTCAAATTTCATAACATAAATATAAACAAAAATAATTTTTCGTACCTTGTTAATTTTTCATGTCAAATTTCATAACAGAAAAAAATTGATTTATAATTTTTTTTTATTTTTAGTTAATAAAATAAAATTAAGCTAAAAAAAAGTGTACGAGCATTGATCACGTGTTCGAAAAAGTTGACTGCGTGTCGGAAAAACGTGTCGGAGCGTGTTGGAGAGTTGACCACGTGTACCAAAATGTTGACCGCGTATCCAAGCGTGTCTCTGTCGGACACGTGTCTGACACGCTATTTTAAGAAAAAAGATGTGTCCAGGTTTGCTAGACTATAATAACCCTAAAATAAATTAAAATTATGAAAACAACATGATTTTTGTCCCAAAACGACGTCGTATTGAACTTACTGCAGACAACTTATGTGCAGTAAATGCAGAAAAAGAGAACTCATTATTATAAATTTAAAATATTTTAGCGGTGGATTATTTTTTTAATTAAATGTTTTAATATATGTTTATTGCAATTGGTGAAAGAAAACAAAACTAGGTCTTGATAGTACATATTTTACGTATTACTCGACGCAAATTTTTTTTTATCACAATTACTTTTGTGGTAATTGTGCTCTAATACGTAAAAATAAAATAGTTTTATATAATTTCAAAAAATTTGTGGTTATATTTTTTTAATATTTTCATGAACTTAAATTTAAAGTTGATTCTAATTATATTTAACCATATTAAATTGTTACTTTCTCTTGTTAACTTTACTCTATCGTTTAATCAACTCTCGCAAATTAGATAGTTATTTATATAAAGAAAATCTAAAAAATTATTTTCACAACCGCTTTACTAACTGATATATGGTTACGATTTCTTGCATTTAATATTTTTATCTTTTGTATAGTTATTATTCTCCATATTTAATACTTTCATTTATATATATGATAAGTATTTGACTGTTGCACACGTACAGCAGCTACAAAAATATAAATCTCTATATATATATATATATGAGTTCGTCTTTTCTACATTCAATGTAGATAACCCAAAATGACATTATTTTGGATAACCCAAAACCATATTATTTTGGGATAGAAATCAAAATATTTAAGTATTTTTGTAATTAAAATATTCTTTGACACCGAAATTTAAGGGTAATTGGCCCATCAAACGGTCTGGTGATTTCATACCACTAGGGTCGGTTTACCGGTACCCACCATCACTGATTCACTGGTTGAATAAAATGCACCATTTAATATATTTATTAAGTTAGGAGAATTATTTCAAAAATTGCATCTAATGGGGTTCGAACCCTTTCCAATGAAGTTATACAACATAGTAAATACCACTAAATTATATCACGTTATTGTTTATATGGCCCCAATTAAAATATTTATTATATAATTAAGTATAAAATATAAATTTGTATATATATCTGGTTCAACCAGTAATCCACCAGTTGAACCATTGATTCAGTGACCCGATACCTCGATCGGGTCAATGACCGACTTGGTTCTACTAATATTGCTAGCAAGTCGAAAAGCCTTGTGCATCTTGATTTGCCCTTTTGGTATAATTTGTTTATATGTAAAAAAGGTTACACTTATATTTAATAATATGATATCAAAAAATTACTAACTTTAATACATTAATATTATCATATTTAAGATGCTAAATTCATTAAAAACATGGTATTACATTATTAGAAACAAGTGTAAAGTATTTTTGTACTGATAACTACATTAAAATAATCTTTTTAATTTTTAAACTTCTTAATTAAGAGGAATTATATAATAAATAATTAATTGAAATTGCTAATAACTACCATAAACTAATTATCATATTCCCAAATTAAAAATCACTGTATAGTCTCTCGTACTTATCTAAAAATTATCTCCCCTCCACGTGTTACATTGCATGTTGGGCACTTGAGCTTCAACACTGCATGCTGCCACCTTTACATGCAATTTTGAATTTACAGCTATACCCCTTCTCTTACCACCGCCACAATTCCATGATTTTCTCGAGCTATAATAACCCATATCCTCAGACAAGGTCAAAATAGTCATTACACCACACATGGAAGAAATTAAAGCACCATAAAAATGGAGTGATTGAAAGAAGTATGTTGCACACACAGGTAGCACAAAAGATGGTAACAAAACCAGGCCTTGCTCTCACGTGTTCTGCACGTGTTTCAATCTTCCTCTGCGCTCTAGTCCTATCCACTGCCCTCCATGGAAGCTCAGAGAACCACGAAGCCATGATTCAGGACATAGCTAGAAAGCTCAAGCTGAAGGACAACGAGATTCTGGGGACCGAGAAAAAGTTCAAGATTTTCATGGAAAATTACGGGAAGAAGTATTCAACAAGGGAAGAGTACCTGAAACGTCTTGGGATTTTCGCAAAAAACATGGTAAGAGCTGCAGAGCACCAGGCACTGGATCCAACGGCCACCCACGGTGTTACACAGTTCTCCGATCTCTCCGAGGAGGAGTTTGAGAGGCTCTACACCGGCGTCAAAGGAGGGTTCCCGTTGACCAATAATGGAGCCGGCGGCAGTGAAGCGCCGCCGTTGGAGGTGGAAGGGCTGCCGGAGAATTTTGATTGGAGAGAAAAGGGGGCTGTTACTGAAGTTCAGATGCAGGTATATATATAAGCAATTAAGTTAAATTCTCTTTAACTACACATGCATGTGGGAATAATATCTATCTATCTAGTTTTTCTCTCTTTCTTTCCCTGTTTATAATTTCTTGGTTTTGACTCTTGATGAGTGTTTATGCAATGATTAGTTTGTTTCTATGTTTTTATTTATTTATTTATTTATTTCTCCACTGCATGATCAACTAATTAGGCCAAGTCAGCACACAACTAGACAAGAGCTTTTTGGAAACTAGGGTAAAATATTAGGACTTCAAGCGAAATATAAATAAAGATATGAATTCAAATTGAACGAGATTTTTCCTATTTAGTAAGAAGGGAGTTTGGTACTCCAAACAAGTACTTCCGCCGTAGACCGATTAATCAACTAAATATCAATGAATGAAGGAATTAATGAACCGATGGAAAAGTTTAAAAATTAAAAATTATGTTTTTGATTAATTAGTCCTTAAATTTTAAAAGGTTTACGTCTATGGAAGTCATTGTAAATATTTTTAACAAAAATATATATTTCTGTTATGCTAATGATGAGAAGTTGTAATTTAGCTGTCATATAAATATTTGCTAATTTTTTTTTTTTAAAAAAAATTCGTTTCAGTTTTTTGTGTGCATAATTTTGATATACAGGGCAAATGTGGATCTTGCTGGGCTTTCAGCACTACAGGATCTATAGAAGGTGCCAATTTTATTGCCACAGGCAAGCTCCTGAATCTAAGTGAACAACAGCTCGTAGACTGTGATAACAAGGTATATATCTATAGGGAAATCATTGTTTTACCTAAGAAAAAAAAACAATTTTATCATTATAACTATGTATTATCAGTATTAACCTTTTTCTAGCAAAATAAGAAAAATGAAATCATATCTATATATCTCTGTATTAAGCCTTGTTATTGTCGAGGCTAAAGGCTCTTTTTCTGACCAATAAGCTATGTTCTGTGTTCTAACGACTTTCTTTCTTCAGTTCTGTTAAATGCACTGAAAAAATGGATTTTAAATAAATTTTACAAACTTCAATCGTCCCCATTCTTTTCTTCTTTCTATCTCTTCCTATTTTTTCAATCAAATAAAGAAGCCCTTCTAACATTTGTAAGCAATCTGTACATAGATAATTTCCTCTCTTTCTATTCTTGTTTTATCCTGATTTTCTTGTTGTTCTGTTTATTTTTTCTTCGAAGTGTGACATAACAGATAAGACAACTTGTGATGATGGATGTAATGGAGGTCTTATGACAAACGCATATAATTATTTGATTGATGCTGGTGGGTTGGAGGAGGAGTCTTCATATCCTTACACAGGAGATCGAGGTGAATGCAAGTTTGATCCAAAGAAAGTAGCAGTTAGAATCACAAATTTCACAAATATCCCTATGGATGAGAGACAAATTGCTGCATATTTAGTCAAACATGGTCCTCTTGCTGGTAAGTGATCCCCTTTATTAATCTTAGCCAGTAATCAATGTCCCTAAAATCTCTCTATAATAATATTAATTCATGACTCATGAACTTGAATTATGTGCAGTTGGCCTGAATGCGATTTTCATGCAAACTTACATGGGTGGTCTCTCATGCCCTCTCATATGTAGCAAGAAATGGCTCAACCATGGTGTGTTACTTGTGGGATATGGTGCAAAAGGATTCTCCATTCTCAGGCTTCGCAACAAACCATACTGGATCATCAAGAATTCATGGGGGAAGCAATGGGGAGAAGATGGATATTACAGGCTTTGTCGAGGGCATGGTATGTGTGGAATGAACACTATGGTTTCTGCTGTGATGGTGGCTCAAACACAAACAGCTACAAACAAATTATATGCTTCCTATTAGCTAGCTCTGTTCTTGCCTCGTTATGGAGACTGAAAAAGTGTGGAATCTTAATAAGTTCTAATGCAGTTTAGCAAATAGAAATATTAAACTCTCTAGGTAATGTATGTACCAAAATACTTTGCCGAGTTAATATAGTTATAAAATGTGATAGTGATATATTTAGCGTATGTCATGTTGTTATTAATCTTATTCGGAACAATATTTTGTTACAAGTATATATATATAAGTGTAGGATTCTTTGACATTGGTGTTAAATTTTAAGTTTGACACATCATCTGAGAGTCAAAAAAGAGCAACGACTCTGATTTGTAAGCATATGACATCATTGATCTTTTTTTATCTAAAGGCTTTCAGATGAGGTGTCAAACTTTAAATTTGACACCAGTGTTAAAGGATCTTATCACATATGAATATATATGAGATGTGTTAAAATTTAAAATTTCACATCAAATTTTAGCCATTGATTTCTGTCAATTAATTGTTATGATTTTTGCTAATTAAATTTATTAATTAATTATTAATTTCTAATAAATGATAATTTTTTGACGAAAATCAACTGTTAGAATTTGATGTCAAATATATATGGTGCATGATATTATTACATTGGTGTAAAAAATAAAAAAATTTATACTAAATCTTGATCATTAATTTACTTGTTATAAAGAGCACTATAACAAGATCTTTCACAATATAAACGGTATCTGGTTACAAATTTATTTGCGCAATGATCTAGTATATGAGAATGGTACAACTTTAAGATGGGGCGCCAAATGTTAAGGCGGATGAACAACAATGGTAAAACTAAATAACCTCCATGCTATCACAAAAAAACTAAAATATATACTTCTTCTCATTTTTCTTGTAACTTTTAAGCAAAAACAAGCAGTATTTTTTTTTAGGTTTTTACCTCTACATACAAGAACAAGCATTATTATGTCGTCTGTGTGTTTAACAGTTGTTCAGGTGGAGAATTTAACCGAGATCTCCTTTCTTAAACTAGATGGTGTACATAACGTGTGAGAGAAAATTATAAAATTTATTTATCCAAAAGAAAAAAATATATAAAATTTAAATAATTAAGAAAGATGAAAAAATAATTTAGACTAAATGGGATAGTCCTTGAATCAAGACTAAAATAATAATAAAAAGGACTTCGAAAGTTCAGCAACCAATCCGTTGTAGTCTAGTTGGTCAGGATATTCGGCTCTCACCCGAAAGACCCGGGTTCAAGTCCCGGCAACGGAATGTATTATTTTGATAGGAATCTTTACTTTTTATGCCTTTCGTAATTCCTAGCAATGCCAATTTAAGCTTTGACCTCTTTGTTTCTGTTGCGTATACTTTTGTAAATATTATGGATCAAATGAATACACGGAGAGTTACCAAAAAAGAGAGTTGTCTTTATATGGATGTGACAAAGTTATCATCTTTCTCGATTTAGACAAGGGGTGTGTGATTGCTCATCAACTTGCTTCTACATTGTGTTCATGTACGCACCCCAAGAGTATGTTACCTTAAATGTCTGAATTGTAATATTATCTTGGTCATCATTAGTGAGTAACTATATGCAGCTATTCCCATACCCTATTCTTAGCATATATATGACTATGGGAGTGAAGATGATGCAGAGTCTCGACGCGAGAAGCTTGAAGGTTCTTTTTATGTATGCAATGGGGATATATGAGCATGTGAATGATTTCTTGGTAAGTAATATGATGCCAAAATCGTAGTTCTATAAGCCCCAGTCAGCATGTGTGGGTCATATTGCACATGTATGGTTCACTTTAATATTTTGGACCATCTGCTTTTTCAATTCAATATTTGTACTGATTAAAAGTTTATCAATTTTCAGGAAGGATGAAGAGACTCAAATTTAAAATTGGATTAGTTGGGCCGTTTGGGTTTCAGACACTGATTGATATGTATTAAAAAAAAAAATCAAAGTTCAATTGATGATAAAATCAATTAACGGAATAAATTGTTGAGTTTGATTGCATAACATATAATCTTCCTTAGTCAATTTCCTTCTTATCAGCTTGTCCTTCTCAGGAGGTAGGTCATCAAGACATCAACGACGTGCCCCTTATGGTGTTGGATTATAAGAGATTTTTTTTTGGCATAAATTTAAGCTAAATAATTTGTGCAAATCGAATTATTAAACGATACTAATATAAGGGTGTGATATCAATATTTTAATCCAAGTCTTGGTTGATCCAAGGCAAAGAAATTTAAGAAAGCATCGAATGGATTAATTCAAAATTTTCGGCCTCAGATCAAATTTTGAGGCCCATTAAGTATGATCCGCATATTTAAGGAAGTATCAATTTAAAATCTAATAAATTCGAAATAAAACCCAATCCAAGTAAAGCATCATATTTGTTTTTTTTTTTTTGGTAAACAACATCGTATTTGCTTGTTTAGACTATAGAGGATTAAAATTTAAAATATATTTTTGAGTTTGAAATTATCAAACAAAATTGATTTAATTGTAATGAGTCCTAATTATTTTTAAATATTTTCCGTATTTTAGGATTTATATATATATATATATATATATATATATATATATATATATATGGGTTTGTTTTTTCTAAAGTTACTTTAGATAATTTTATCTAATGTTCATCGAAACTACGTCGTTTTGGGGCGGAAATCATGATATTTTTGTAATTTTAATTTATTGCAGGGTTATAATAGTCTTTATCATTCTAATTTTTTAATTTTTCAACCCCAAAACGACGTCGTTTTGATGATCATTAGACAAAGTTATCTAAAATAACATTAGATACTTTTTTCCCTATATATATATATATATATATATATATATATATATATATATATATATATATATCCTTAAGTGCTTTTTTTTAGAATTTTAAATTTTAAATTATTTGTAGTTCGCCTATAGAATGACGTTTGAAATCTCTTTCATAGAAAGTTGAATATTGTGATATTTTGATAAATCCTACTTGAGAACATAGTATTTCTCTTTTTCAAATCCAATTTTCTGTTTTGATTAATGTTTATTGACTCAATTTAAATTATATAAACTAATGGGATATATTAAATTGGGATTTTGAAGGATTTTAATATATTATTTTTGGACAAAAAAATAAATTAGTATTCAATTAGGATTTTAAAGAATTGAAAAAAAGTCACGTGGTATTCGATTAAGATTTTAAAATATTATTTTACAGTCCGTTCAAATTCATTGGTATTCAACATAGGAAAAACAAACTTATGGTATTAAAAAATATGACGATTTTAATGAATTTTCTATTGGTGTGAATTTCGTGAGACTTTTCAATGAGAAATATAAATAGGATGCTTTTGTCACAATCTCATCCAAACTCCTATGATTTCTTGAGATTTCTCTACTGCAGTGTCTTATTCTTCATTTGACGGGTCGATCCACTCGAAATCAGGTTCCACCATGGGAGCTTAGTCAAAGCTCAAAACTAGTAGTTTTTTGGACGATTTTCATTGCAAAACAACTCCAACAATATTTTAATCTAATCTATCTCAAAAACAGTATATTGTTTAGCGATTTTTGAGAGTTTTTGGGAGTTTAAAAAATAATTTTTCAAGCTTTTTGGTCGCGATTTTTCTTGGCATAAGGATGTGTGCTTTTTATATTAAAAAAAATAAAATAGTGGAAAATAACAAGGAAACAAAAACTCTAAAATCAATTTTCGTTTTACGTCAATAAAACAACATCGATTTAAAGAAAGATTAAAATTTTCATTATGAAGTCTCTATTTTATAACAATACATTTATGAATGAAATTCCTTCGCTACAGCCTACAGGAAACAATTTCAAATAATTTTTGTGTCAATAGAGCACTAAAAACGTGTTTGTCAAAAGCACCAAAGCAATTTAATGTTTCAATATATCGATTGAAAATAATTTGAGAAATTTTTTAAATTTTAATGTAATAAAACCTAGAAATTCAAAAATTTATTGAAATACTAAATGAAAATATGCATATGATATATAATTAGAAAACTGTCATCATGTAGAACAAAAACTCCAAGGTTTACAAGATCAATTGCCAAAAATTCCAAACGAAATTTTATCATGAATTTTCCTGATTAAGAAAATCATATTAGGTTTTACTTTTTTTATTAATATCATTTTATTTTTTGTTATTTTTTTATTGACTCTTGTAATTTTGAATGTTTGTAAAAATTCATATACTTTTTTAAAATTTTATAAATTCATATTGTCCTTTCAAATCTTATAAATTCAATTAAAATCCTTTAAAATTCAAGCTTATGAAATTTTAATTGTGAAAAATATCTTTTATAAAAGTCTTTAAAATCCATTTACCAAAAAAAAAAGTCTTTAAAATTCATCCAATTCTAAATAATCTTTTAAAATCAATAAAAAAAGTATATTAAAAATATCTTTCAAAATCCTAATTCAATATATTTTATGAGGAGGGATATTCTTACTACCAAAATTTTTCACTACCAACTTAGTACCTATATAACCACCATTAGATTAACATTTTCTCTTTTTTCAAAAACTTTTTAACATTCTCTCTCTTTGATCCAATGATGATGTGATAGATAATAAATTAGTAGTAAAATTTTTTGATAGTTAGAATATCCTCGCTTATATTTTATTGGATTGTGCACCTTTAACATAATTGCTTTTGCTCCCAATTATTTTCTATGGGTACGACTAGGGGTGTAAATGGGTTAGGCCGGCCTACAGGGGCCTATGACCTAGTCTATATTAGGCCAGATAAATAGTAAAATAGAACAGGCCAGCTTAGGCTTTTAAAAAAACTTGTTTAGAAAATAGGCCATAGGTTTTTTTTGTACATGACGGGCCTATATCATATTATTTATTTAAAATATAATAAATATAATTATTATTTTAATAATTTTAAATAATAAAATAATATTATTTTAGTTATTCTTTTCATTGTTGAATGCTTAATGGACTTAAACAGGTTAATAGGCTTAGGCCAATGCTTTTATTTTTTAATTATAGGTCATACCAGACTTGTAAATTGGGGCCTACAAAAGCTAATAGACCAGGTCATACCCAATTTTTTTTACATAAACTTAACCTATTTAAGCCAAAACTTAACCTAGTCCAATCGATATACACCCCTAAATACGACATTTCCGTAAAAAATGAAAGGATTTCACTCACCAACCATCGCCTCAGTCTCTTTTAGACATGTCAAAGGCTGTAGCAGCCACATGAGCTGGACCTGGACCTACCCAATATGCGAATTCAATGTTCCAAATGGTTCGAGCCACGAAAACAAAACAAATGATAGGAAATGGTTACACAATCAAAATCACACCTGTATACATAATTTTGTTGCTACCTAGATAGAAAACGACACCTAAGCCTCGTGATACAGATTAATATAAACAAATGTAGGAGAGAAATATGTAAATATAAAATGAATGGAGTGACTATAAATATTAATAAATGCTATTATAATTACTTTTATATTTTTTATTACAAATATGAAAAAATATTATACGAGTAATAAATTAGGTTAAATTAGGTTTTCGTCTAAATGAATCAAACTTACATAAAATATAGTCTAGACTAAATTGTAAGTCTGCTTTTTTTTTTTGAAAAAAATAAATTTTTTGAGTAATCTATTATTTTATTTAAATTTGTCGTACATTTTTTATGGATATAAATAAATTAAAAAAAGTAAAATTATTTTATTTTATTACTTAAAATTATTTGAACTTATTTTTATTTTTAAATAAATAAAATAATATAAACCGATTTATGAATTTATAAACAAAGTAAGAAGACCTAAAATTTCAACCTTTAAAAGATTGTAGTATAAATTATATGGGAATAAAGTTTTTAAAGTTACTTTAGAAAAATTTATTTAATGTTCATCAAAATAACATAATTTTGAAGTTAAAAGATTAAAAAATCAGAATAATAAAGATTATTAAAATAAATTAAAATTATAAATACGTCATAATTTTTGTCCCAAAATAACGTCATTTTGATAAGTTTTAGACAAAATTTTCTAAAATAACTTTAGAAAAAACAAACCCAAACTTTTTTTGGAACAGATTCACTTACCACCAAAAAAGTTTATCATTCTTACAACCAATTTAATCACCATTAATTTTCGTCAATCTAACGGTTATAATTTATTAGAAATTAATAACATTTGTTGTATCACATTTATTAATTAATTATTAATTCATAATAAATTATAATCGTTAAATTGATAAAAATCAACAGTGATTAAATTAATTGTAAGAATGATAAACTTTTTTGGTGATAAGTATATCATGCCCAACTTTATTTAAAAATATTATTTTATAGTTCAATACATGCTCTATCAATTATAGTAGATATTATTCCTCATCAAAATATACAGAAGTAATATAGATATACAATATAAACTCAATTCACATCACTCAAATTTAGTATGTAATGCATAACACCGACACAATCATAATAAATTAGGGAAATAATTATCTCATATTGTATGAGATGATTAGACAAAGTAATGAGGTCTATATTGTTTTTTGTTTTTTTGTTTTTTTTTACAAATAATGAACTCTGCTATCTTTTCTTTATGGAAATGAGATTAATATATTTCAATAAATTAATGGCAAAAACTCAATGAATAAAGATAGGCTTGAATCAATCAAGGATATAAATTGGAGCTGAATTTGGTAATTTAAAAAATGAATTAAGAAAAAGAAAATATAAAGTTGCTTCGTTTACCTCAAGCTGTAAAGCGTTTTCAAAGTTTGAAACTCAAGTTTAGTAGAAATTTTGTTCTATCAAGTATCAACTCCTTTAATTTTGTTCCACAAGCTGATATACTGTTGTCTTATTATGACAACGAAATGACTAAAAGCCACTCGAGCATCTTTTTTTTATCCTTATCCACCTTGTCTATATGAGTTATTGGGTGGCGGGTATTGTTGTCTTATTGGTTATTATTACACGTTTACAAGTTAACACAATTCTACAACAACAATTATCCAAAACCAAGAAAATAAAAAATAAAATTGGACACGTTTTTTCTTTTTTACAAGAGAACTCGCGAGTCGCCACAGACATATGTCCACAAGCAAAACTCAAAAAATCAAAACGCAGAGGTAAGAAAATGACATCTTTTGTTATTTTTTGCTGCTGAATGCTTGTGATGTCTAAGACCCATTGTCCAAAATCGTACCTTGAAATGATTTTCCTCTGTTTTTTTCCTTCAACTTATCTCTTTTGCTCGGCCATCACTTAAAGCACGACAAGGGTATTGCCTAATTCTCTTTTTGACGAAAACATCATAGTAAACTCTTAAAGTTTTGGTTTTGTTATGTGTTTCATTTGCTGTTTTTTTTTATTCGGATTCAGATCTCAACTGGGTTTGTGCTTTTGCACTTGTTTTGCTGAATGCATTGCTCATTAATGCAGAATGTTAATGGGCTTTGTCTCTAACTTTGAACTATTGGGATTCTTATAATTTCTTTGTTGTTTGTTTTGTATTTTATGTTCTTTGCATACATGCGCGTTAGTTTTTATTGATTTCTAGATGAAGGTGTGCTATCTTAATTATACATTTGAAACCGACACAAGTCTTGAACTGTATACTGTGATGATGTGAAAATTGATTTGCAGGGCATTAGCCCAAATACAGGTCTTTGATTGGTCTAAAATTCTCTTACCTTTTTGTCTATATCATAGCAATGTTGAGTGTTTCAAGTGAGGAAGATTTGAGATCTAAAAGTAACATATCTGTGCTCTTCTCTTACTGTATTTTATCTCAGATCTGGAAGGAAAATAGGTTGAATTAATGAGTGAATTCTCATTTGATGAGTATTAGATAGGGGTAAGGTTTTAGATAAGTAAGGCCTCTCCACTTAATAGATCTAGGTGGGGTTGAATTCTTTGACGATTAGGATTTCTCTGTATCTGTACTCATTTTATTCGAAGTTGAACTCTGTTTGGAAAAGCATGCATTAAGTTTTATGTAGTTATCTGGCAGGGGGAGTGGTGGAAGAGCTAGGTCTGCTATAATTCAAGTTCATCTTATTGTAGGAACTGGTGTTCCTGTATCCGAAGTAAATAGAAATGAATGTCAATATGCAATTGTTATAGCTCAGAGTTTCAACTTGTGAGATCACACATTCTGTCATTTAATCATTTTAAATATGGTCAAAACTGGAATGCAGAATAGGTACAAGGTGAAGTCTAATACAAACTGGCTTGTTAAAAATTTGTTATATGGCATCTTTTAGGACTCCAATGTTAGCTTGTGCATATCTAGTATTTAAATGACCACTGTGTACTGAAGACTATTCACTTTCTTCATTACAGAAAAATAGAAAACCATCACTACGTTTTTTATTTTAACATATCACAGTTTTTCTCACCAACAGATCCAATTCTTCAGTTTCCTGGTAATACTCTAAAATGAGATCATAATCTTCAAGCAATTGATATCACATAAGGGAACACATATAATGTGGAATCAATCAATTCAAATGGAATATGAGCTTTGGAGGAAGATATATTTTACGTGTGTTGGTGTAGACAAACAATTGTTTAAGTTAGCATTTTATATAATCTTATAAAAAGAAATGCAAGAAGAAAATGACTTTTGAAAGAAGATATTTATGAGGTTGGTGTGAACAATTGATGAGATTTGCCTTTCATCCTATTTTTCTATTTGTACTTTTAACTTCTTTGAGTTTTTCCTTTTACCAGTTTTACTTGTGTTGCACAACAAATACAAATTACGCTATGCCAATATTTTCCCTTTTAAAGCTATTCCCTCATTATGCAGCAGCTGCGATAGATGTTCTTAAGTTCTTTTCAAATCCTTTGACATTCTGAACAGCAATAACTGTAAGGAGGCTTGGAGGTACTTCTAATCTTTAGAAGGAAACAATTATTAGTACTTTTGTATAATTATTGTGAGGAGTGGTCGTTCAATTTTGGATATGATGGAGGTCTGTGCTGAAAGTTCCCATTCTGATGGGAAGCAAACTTCGAAGCATTCTAAATCTGCAGATGAAGTGAAAAGATCCAGTGAGAAGACCTACAAAAGTTCTCATTCAAATGGGAGACAAATTTTGAAGCAAACTTCTACCTTTGTTAATCATGGTGAGTTTGTCATTTTAATTTTCATAACCTAGTAATTAGCTGGTCCTTTTCCTTTAACTGTATTTATTCATCTATTTTGCTCTAGTTCACCAATCGAAAAACAATAAACTATTTTAAAATCCCATATAGCTTGTTGGTAGCTATATTATCCTTGCTAATTAGAAGGATGATTTACAATGATTTATTTATCTGCTGAAATAACATTAGCTCCAGGAATTGAGGAAAGAAATTGGTCCAGGGAAGTGAGAGATAGAAGGTGGCTAAATAGATGGATACATGTGAATGTTAACCCGAATTAGGCATCTTGGAATGTTAACCCCTGCATATTAGAAATTGGTCTTAAAACAAAGTGACCACTTGTTTTATCATACTGATCAATGACTTTAGTAATGAAGAATTTTCACAAATCATAACATCTGAAAACCTGATATCTTGGATCAAAGCCTATAACCTATTACGGGCACTACAATGACAACAACAAAAACAACAATGAAGATAAAAGAAACACTGTTTTCGACTTTTTTTTTAAAGTTTATGTTATAAACACCTTTTTAGCTTCTTGACATTTTAGTCTCTCTCACTTTACCTTAGGCAATGATTGTACTCTCCATGGAAGGCAGATATACTGGCTTGAAATGATAACGGAATAGCTTTAGAAAATGTACATGTTGGGTCCTTCTGACATTTAGTGGTAACCTAATTAAGTTTCCAGCAAATTTAAATGCCTTTTGGATCTATATATTTGAGGACTCCAATTATGAAGTCAGAGAGAATAGGCTTTGAATACCCAACTTGCCGAGAAAGAATTGAAGAAACAAAGAATGAAATTGTATTTGCTTTTTTATAAATAAATTTTCTGTTTTATTTTCCTATTTTGATTTTTCTAATCTTTATTATAATTTTTCTGTTTTTTGTCCATAGTGTAATTTTTCTAAATTGTTTTTTTAAAACCTAATATGGGTGAATATATTATGCAGCTGCAATCGCTTGGCATGAGAATAGAAGAAAGTGGGTTGGTAATAAGTCTCAGCATCCACCAAGAACGGCTAAAGAACCTATTATTAGGTATAACTCAACCCAATTCCCTTTTTGTCATTTACACTAGCATCAATCATCGTCGTTGTGGTCATGATGAAAGGTTTTTAAAGGGTTTTATCTTCTGTTTCTATCTGAGGCCAAAAACAAGAGATAATATAGTGGTTTTGAAGGGGTCTGATCTTACATGTTTTTCTAGTTTCTTATAGATATTTACAGCCATATTGGCAGAATTAAAGTTTGGGCATTCATGTCTAAGACACAGGAAATCATTGTTCTCTCGCTTGTTATCTTTGATACCAGTTTTATTCTCAATTTTATTCCTTACCTGATAAACAATCCTGAATGAAATAAAATTAACTATGGCATCAATAGAACTCATGGATCCCCTTTTCTCGTCTTTCAAAAATACTATATACTATAAGTGAGTCGTACATATATTCATTTATTTAATTATTTACTTTAATTCGTAAACTAACAGAAACTATCACTGCTACATAAGGTTTAAGTATCTATTTCTCATATGTAATAATTGTTCAATTTCGAAGTGGTTGTTAAATTCAAAATGGATTGAATTTGACTGATACAATATCCGTGACTCGTAAAGTTTCTAAGAATAAGAATTATCTTTAACATGTATTGAAGAAGAAATTTAATATATATAATTGTAAACAACGAAAGAAAAAGAAATGATAAATTCCCAGGTAAAAAGAATAAGAAAATGTGTAGGCTTCACAAAATTCAGATTCCATGTGGACTTTCAGGTTACAATTTTTTTTCTTGGTCCGCTTTGAGGAATCTGTTCCACTGATATCTTTAGTCTCATGCAGCTTGAAAAAAGAAGCCAAATTCTTGGTCCAACCAAGATGAAAACTGGCTATTAATTTATTGCATGCATGTTTCTTGTTGCCCTATTATTTATAGATGGCATAATATACATGCCTTGTGAATTTTAGATGTTAATTGCTTTATCCAAATGCTAGGTTTAAGAACTTATTATGCCACTCTTCTCACTTTACCGGGAGCATGGATGAAATAGTGGCTTACCTCTTTGTCAGTACTTTTGTTTGATTTCCTTTCAAGAGGGACGGTAGTTTTAGGGATAATGTCCATGACTAAACATGTGTTTTAGTACCAATTCGTTAATAAATTCCAATTATCTGTGCTTTCATTAATTTTGTGCATTTGTTTGGCATAGCTTCTGAGGATAACACTCCAGTAATTTTAAATGTTTTTGTTGCAGCTGGTCAACATCATATGAAGAGCTGCTTTCAACTAACGAACCTTTTGCACAGCCAATACCCTTACAGGTAAGAATCCATCTAATGCATGTAAATGTATGTGTTCATATGGATTTGAAAATGTAAAACCATTACTTAAAGATGGCGCAGAGCAATATTTGAAAAAGTATGTGGGGAGTTTGTGCTTTTTAGTACACTATACATGAATGGGAGAGGTGGACAGAATCTGGAAATTGTATCTTAATGGAAAATCAGTCATAGATGCTCTTTAGAGTATACGTTTCTGTAATCCTTCAGTATTTTAAGACATTGATGAAGGTTTTGTAGCTTTATGTGATATTAGATTTGAGTAGGGGTGTTAACGGGACGGGCCGGGCCGAGCCGAGCCGAGCTTTGGTCTTAAAAGGCTAAGCTTGATCAAGCATGCTACCTATTATAACTATAATTATCGGTCCGTGACCTGTCTTATTTACAAAAAATAAAAGCCCGGTTTAGCCTGTTTAAAAAAAATAAGATAACAAAAATTTATCCAAACAGAATATACAATCAACAACCTTAATAATTCCATAAATATTCATAAATTTAATGTATATTCAAATAGTATAATATAGAATAAAATCATTCAAAAAGTCTGTTTAACCAATAAAATGTGGTGAAATGGATTGAGAAGAGAGAGAGCTATTGCAATAGTATAAAAAATATAAAATAAAAATAAAAATTATTATACTAGGCCAGCCTGATAGCCTCTAAGGCCGAGCTTTTGAATTGTAGCATGATGCCTTTTTATTAAACGAGCTATTATACAAAACCAAGCCTGGTTCTAACAACTAATTTTAGACATGAAAGCTTAGGCTTTCACGAGCGGAGTTAAAGGCCCCTGATTCGTTTATCACATGAGGAAATCTTAAACATTGTTGTCTTTATAAGCATCCCAATATAACAGCATTTTAGTGGTAGACTTGAAACTGTATTTATGTTTATTCAATACTAATAGAAGAGAAGCTACAAAACTTTCTGCTGTTTATTTCCTACTGATGCAAATTTGATGGATTGGTGGCAATGCAGGAGATGGTAGATTTCCTAGTTGATATTTGGTTCGATGATGAAGGCCTCTTTGACTAAAATGTTAAACGGCAACTGAAACAAGAACTATGTAAAGCCTTTAACTTGATGGAAGAGGAAGACTTTCGAGGATCTCAACACTAACCTACTAGCATCAAATCCTTTTATATGTAATGATCTTCAGGATAGAAGGTTATTTATTAATTATTTTCCAACATTTATCTAATAGAAAATTTCATTGTTTGAAAAAATATAAATCTATTTTTAGTCCATTGTTTTGATAGATGTTTTGATCTGTACTCCTTATACATTTCTAGAATTGAAAACGTGCCACCAAGTTCTGATTGACTGTGTCTTCTTAACTACAGCTTAATAGTCTTTCAACCCCCAAGTCATATAAGGGATTCATTATTTAGAAAATGCTGAAATATATTTTTAGTTCTTACGAATTTTGATTTTGGTTTTTTTCTTCTTAATTTGACTTTAACTTCTAGTTATTTATTTATAAAAATGTCTAGTTTTAATCTTTGACATGAATATAACAAAGAGAATGCGTGACGTATGGTATTGATGATTTGATATTGTATCTGTCACGTCATTACTCAACAGAATTTTGTTAACGGGAAATATTAGGATTAATTATTTTTTTATAAAATAAAAAAATTAAACTCAAGTTAAGGGGGATGCACTGCGGTAAAAAGTTGAATCTTGAGATTTATGATATGTTACTGCTTTTGTAATATCATTGATTACTGCTTTTGTAATATCATGATATGCAGTGAGGTTCAAGGTTAATGGAATCTAATCTGATTTGTAATATCATTGATTACTGCTTTTGGGATTTTGGTTGAGAACGTGTTATCATGATATGCACCGAGGAAATGTTCATATAATGTTGGACCATGTTATTCACAGGGACATTGCTTTGCAATTATACGCATATCGATTCTAAATTATTAATTAGAGTTAGAAATGCAATAAAACCATACTTTAAGCAGTGGGGTTGAATGATGGTCGATGCTTTTATTTAAAATAATGGGACAACAAGAATGAAATTCTATAGAGGCTCCGATAACATTGTTGACCTTTTTTAGAGCATTAGGCTAAAAAATAACATTCAGATACCTATCTTTTGTTTAAATTTATTTATTTATTTATTATTTAGAAAATGAGGGGAACAATAATCAAACTCTAGAATATTTAATAATAGAGGCTTTGATATTCAGCCATTTGGATTGATCTAGTGATGAAAAATTGAGTTCTTTTGTATAAGGTTATGTGTTCAATTCTCACCCTTACATTAAAAAGAAGAAGTAGGTTTTGATATCATCATTGGCTTTATATATCCACACACATTTGGAATTCCTAGAATGCACTTGAATTCTTTTAATAATGGGTTCATTATAATTAATTTCTAATTGAAGTCAAAAGAAATATAGGTAAGAAGATAACATTGCTGGAGGCTGTTTCAAATTTGTTGTTCTTGTTCCTGATCTATTTGCATATAATTATAATTATTGTTATGAATTCCATTTCTAAAGTATTGGCCCCTTCTTTCGTGGTTTTATCCATGGATTTCTCAGGTCCCTTCACTGCAACTAGAGTGCTTGACCAACTATATTGCCGAATTGTCTCTCTTGGAGTACAACATGCTTTGTTATGCTCCATCACTTATAGCTGCTTCTGCAATTTTCCTGGCCAAATTTATACTTGCTGACTTTTCTTTTCAGCTGGCCTTGTTGGTGGGATTCCTGCAGGCACGGTACTCTCGTTCTGGTGGTTCTGGAGCTCCTCCTCCAGCGACCCCTACCAAGGAAGCTGGTCCTCCACCAGAGACCCCTCCGAAGGATCCCAAGACTACTAATACGATTAGAGGTCAAAGAGATTGACCAGTGCTCCAAGTTGGGCCTTAGACTTCCATGTATAGTTTGAGTAGTAATGGGCCAATGATGTTGGGCCCTATAGGACCAGAAGGATGTAAATAGAGGTGTCAAAATGGGTTAAAGTCCGTGGATCAGCCCGCAAAACATTATATTTGGCTCTAACCCATTCGGGCTTTTTTTGTGGTAGGGCATGTTTTAGCCCTAACCTTCAAAGCCCTATAATTTTGCGGGCTGGGTTAGGGCTGACCCGCGGGCCAAACTTTTTCTTTAATCAAAATTTTCATTATTTAAAAAACTAAAAATTATATAAGTTTTAATATTTATAAATATAAATAAAAATTGTAGTGAATTTGATGGAGAATAGAAGAGAAAGTGAAATATGAAAGAAAAGAAAATGAAGTGTAGAAAAAAAAACAAAAGAAAGAATAAAATAAGAATAGGTATGAGCAAATAGTCTGTATAAGGACCTATCTTACATGCATTTTTAAACATGGAAGTCATGAAAAAATAAAAATTCACATGTTATGAACCATGTGAAAGATCATTCATAATCCATGTGAAAGGTCATCCATAATCCATGTAAAAGGTCAGGATTTCAAGATATGACTCTTCTCAAATGATCAGGATTTCAAGATATGACTCTTCTCAAGGAGAATATTCTTGCTCATAAATTTTCAGAATAGACAAGTGTTACGATGCGAAGGTCCACGAGGAGTAGGAAGCGTTCATCTATGCTAACAGACTTTGTAGCGTGACTTATACTTCATGTTTCCATTTGTAATGCTCTATTAGTTGGTTAGTCGACGTGTACAGTTGCATGTCCTTATTAGTCGGTTAGTCAGTTAAGCTACACGTGCGTGTGTAGTTGTCAATTGGTTATGTTGGAAGGATTATAAATAGGAACTGTAAAGAACTATGGATTCATTCATTCAAGATCAATAAACTGAATTTCATTTCGCTTCTTTTATCTCTGTCCTGTTCTTCCTTAGGTTTTAGAAACCTAACATTGGTGCTTTCATCCATTCTCCTATTCTTCTTCCATGACGAGGGTTCAAGAATTATCGGAGGAGTTGCATTCACTTCAGCAACGAGTGGACTCAAACTTGGAGGAACTTCGCATGCAAGCGACGGTTCACGCTAATGAGACCAGGAACCAGTTTTCCTTACTGGTTTTACAGATGCAGCAATTGCAGGAAACGATTATGGCTAATCAAACGCCTAAGCATGGTAATTCACACACCAATAATTCTCATGTTTCGCACAATTACACCAAACCAGATTCCATGGATCATCGTTCCTTACTCAAGGGGGTTCGCATGGAGATACCAGTTTTCAATGGTACTGATCCTAACAACTGGATTTTTAAAGCAGAGTTGTTCTTTACTCTTCAGTTGATTCCCGAAGAAACAAAGGTTGCTTTGGCTGGGTTGAAGATGGAAGGCATGGCTGCCTCTTGGTTTCAATGGACTTTCAACAATGGTAAGGCTCGTGCATGGTCTGATTTTGTTTCTGCTCTTCGCCAGCGTTTTGGCATGTCTGGCTTTACAAATTTAAAAGGAGCTTTATCCAAATTGACTCAAACATCTTCCCTACGTGCATATGTTCAACAATTTGAGGCATTGGTTAATCAAATTCCTGAACTAGATGATGACCTTTTAATGAACTTTTTTGTTTCGGGTCTCCAATCTGAATTACGTAGTGCGGTCCAATTAAAGGGACCTATCTCCTTACACCAAGCCATTCAGCTGGCTATGGCTTATGATGATCATTTTACTGATCTCAAAACTTCGTTCCAAGGTGCACCAAAGGATGCTTCACTTCATACCTTGAGGGATACTACTCACTACCGTGCCTTGATGTTTAGTTCAACATTGGCAGGTATGGATTTCTTTATTTTAGTTGACTCAGGGAGCACCCATAATTTCATACAACATCAGTTAGCTGTGAAACTAGCCTTGCCTATATCACATTCTCACCGAATTCGTGTGTTTCTGGGTAATGGGGATGTTATGCATTCTGATAAAAAATGTCTCAAGGTACCATTACTGATTCAAGGTCATAAGTTTGTCTGTGATCTGTGGGTTCTGGATTTATCTGATATAGACATCATTTTGGGTATGCCATGGCTGGAACGGCTGGGAAAGGTTACTCATGATTATATCAGTAAGTCAATGTGTAACGCCTGGAAACTTGCAAGGATCAACGACTGTCCCCACACACTAACACGAGACTTTTCAGCGTGCTTTGTCCTCACTCGCACAGTTTCCGGGAAAACTTCCCAGGAGGTCACCCATCCCTGAATTGCTCCAAGTCAAGCACGCTTAACTGTGGAGTTCTTTCGATCCGGGCTACCGAAAAGTAGATGCATCTTGTTAGTATAGGTAGTACCAATTAATTCTTATAAGTCATTCCCAACTGTACCGTCCCATACCAGCACAGTCTCTGGAATCCCTCTCTTTCGGGTGTTGATTCGATTCATTCTTGTACCCCCGTCCCTAGAAGCCTGCCAGGAGCCGCTCCTTGTCCGTGCCCTTGCGCACCGGCGATCACTCCCCGCCCTCGTCAGCGCTCGTGATGTTACACAATGGAGTTTTGGTGGGAAGGAAATTCAATTGTCTTGCAAGGTCATAATCCCATTGATGTCTCTGCTAAATTGAATACAATTCTGTCCCAAGAGTGGGCTGGCTGTCATGCCTTACAAACAGAATCAGATTCTTTTATACAGGTTAAAATACTGCCTGAGTTACTCAAAATGCAATCTGATCTCCATCCCCTTCTTTGGTCTATTTTGTTGAAATTTCAGCAGGTATTTGCACTTACTAATGGATTGCCACCTTTTAGAGGATTGGATCATTCCATCCACTTGGAGCCAGGTACCAAACTTGTTAATGTTAAACCATACAGATATGGTCATGGTCAAAAATCTGAAATTGAAAAACAGGTCTCTGAGCTTCTAGCTTCGGGTTTCATCCAGCATTCTCATAGTCCATTCTCTTCACCAGTCTTGTTAGTGAGAAAACAAGACAACTCTTGGAGGCTTTGCATTGATTATAGAGCTCTTAATGCAGTCACCATTAAAGATCGATTCCCTATTCCTACTATTGATGAATTGTTGGATGAGCTAGGGGGTTCTACTATTTTTTCTAAATTGGATTTAAGAGCGGGATACCACCAAATTAGGATGTTGCTTGCTGACACTCACAAGACAGCATTCAGGACACATGATGGTCATTTTGAATTCTTGGTCATGCCATTTGGTTTGACAAATGCACCAGCCATTTTTCAAGCGATCATGAATCATCTCTTCAAACCTTATCTCAGGAGATTCATTATAGTTTTTTTTTATGACATTTTAGTCTTCAGTAAAACTATTGAGGAGCATGTTCAACATTTGGAACTAGCTCTCCTTACTTTACAACAGTATGCTTTTGTGGTTAAGTTGTCTAAATGTGCTTTTGGACAGAGTCTATCGAATATTTGGGCCATGTGGTCACTGATAGTGGGGTTATTGCTGATCCTAGGAAGATTTCAGCCATGCTTCAATGGCCTACTCCCAAAACTATTAAGCAATTGAGGGGCTTCTTGGGGCTAACTGGATATTACAGAAGATTTGTGAAAGGTTATGCTTCCTTAGCTCTTCCCTTAACAAATCTATTAAAAGGATCATCTGTTTTCCAATGGACACCAGCAGCTGATACAGCCTTCTCGGAATTAAAGGTTGCTATGTCTTATACACCTGTATTGCAGCTGCCCAATTTCGAGGAGATATTTGTTGTTGATACTGATGCATCGAATTTTGGTGTGGGGGCTGTGTTACTCCAAGGTGAAAAACCTATTGCTTACTTCAGTAAAAAGCTTGGACCGAGATTAGCTAGTTCTTCTACTTATATCAGAGAACTTTATGCTATCACTGCGGCTGTGAAAAGATGGAGACAATATTTGCTTGGGACCAGATTTATTATCAGAACTGATCATAGAAGCATTAAAGAACTCCTCACTCAAACTATTCACACGGCTGAACAGCAAAAATATTTGTGCAAGTTGATGGGATATTCTTTTCATATAGAATATAAACCAGGCCATGCTAACACAGTGGCTGACTCTTTATCTAGAGTGTTTGATGAGGAGGGTGCCGTGTGTGTATCCCTTTCCGAACCTGAATTTGATTTGCTTGCTGAGATTAAGAGTCAAAATTTACAAGATCCCCATTTACTTTCTCTGCATCAACAGTTATAGGAAAACCCGAATCATGATCCTGATATGACAATTCGAGATGGTATTATCTTTTACAAAGGTAAATATCTCCTTACTTCCTCCTCATCCTTAGTGCCTGTGCTGAATAAAGAGGCTCATTCTTCTCTGATTGGGGGACATGCTGGTGTCTTAAGAACCCTGTTGAGACTATCAACCACCTTCCATTGGCCATCAATGCGGAAGGATGTCAAACAGTTTGTACAACATTGTCACATCTGTCAACAGGTGAAATATGAACCTTCCAAAGTCGCTGGGCTGCTGCAACCTCTTCCAATTCCTGAAGGCATTTTTGAGGAGCTTTCTATGGACTTTGTTACTGGTCTTCCTCCTTTGAATGGCTTAACCACTATCTTGCTTATAGTAGACAGATTGTCTAAATTCGCTTACTTTGGTTCCTTACCTACTTCTTATACTGCCTTTACAGTAGCCACCTTATTTTGTGACTTGGTAGTTAAGATACATGGCTTTCCTCGTTCTATTCTAACTGATAGGGATCGCATCTTTTTGAGTCAATTTTGGAAGCACCTTTTTAAATTGAGTGGTACTACCTTAAGAACAACTTATTCCTACCATCCACAATCTGATGGTCAAACAGAAGTGACCAATCGTTACCTGGAGCAATACTTGCGCTCTTTTTGTGGAGATCAACCTCGTTCCTGGAGTAAGTTTTTGTGTTGGGCTCAATATCACTACAATTCAGCAACCCACTCAGCTATAGCTATGTCTCCTTACCAGGCAGTATTTGGCAAACCACCTCTCATGATCCCATTTTATCCGAGAAGGGTTAATTAAGCTGGAGGCTATTGATTCTATGTTGCACATCAGAAATGAAGTCTTAGCTCAGCTCAAACTTCATTTACAAAGAGCTCAGAACCGTATGAAGGTCCAGTATGATAAACATCGCAAGGAGCGCTCCTTTCAAGTGAGTGATCTGGTTTGGGCACGTCTGCAACCTTATAGGCAAGTTACTGTGGAAAGAAGATCTAATCACAAGCTTGCTAAAAGATTTTTTGGTCCATTTGAGGTCTTGCGTGCTTTAGGTAAGACGGCTTATGAATTGCAATTGCCTCTTGGAAGTCAAATCCATCCAGTGTTCCATGTTTCACAATTGAAACCTTGTGTTGGTCCCAAGCCAGTGGTATCCAATCCTCTTCCACCCTTAGCTATGGATAACAAGCCTGTTCAAGTTCCTGTTGCCGTTCTAGACACAAGGTCAGTTGATTGTCATGGCCAATATGTCCGAGAGTTCCTTGTTCAATGGTCCAATACAGTCCCAGAAGATGCTTCTTGGGAGAGGGAATCCGACTTGCTTCGTTGTTACCCAACCCTCAACCTTGAGGACAAGGTTGTTGTTGAAGGAGAAGGCAATGTTACGATGCGAAGGTCCACGAGGAGTAGGAAGCGTTCATCCATGCTAACAGACTTTGTAGCGTGACTTATACTTCATGTTTCCATTTGTAATGCTCTGTTAGTTGGTTAGTCCACGTGTACAGTTGCATGTCCTTATTAGTCGGTTAGTCAGTTAAGCTACACGTGCGTGTGTAGTTGTCATTTGGTTATATTGGAAGCATTATAAATAGGAACTGTAAAGAACTATGGATTCATTCATTCAAGATCAATAAACTGAATTTCATTTCTCTTCTTTTATCTCTGTCCTGTTCTTCCTTAGGTTTTAGAAACCTAACAACAAGCTAGAAACACACTTATGCCCAATGATCTGAAGATAAGCCCACAAAGTGCAACCATGCTTACTCTTTCAAAAACGAATCCTGGACCAACTGCTTCAGAGAAAGTAGTAAGGCACTTCATAGCATGTGCACGTGTCTTAATATCTGCTACACGTTCACTTAGTCCTACCAAAATGAAAACAGAAAAGAAAATGAGGTAGCAAATCAGAATATTAGACATTTATAAAGTAAACACATTACAAAGATTTCACTTTACAACAGGGTTCATATTTGGCAAAAGCTGAATCAAACAACGATACCCACCCATAAGGAAAAGTACTACACACTTCTTTGGGAATTTAGTTGCAGTTGAAGCTATATGAGTGATAACTTCGATAACCTGTTGCTGAACCTGCTCAAGGAAATTACCAGCAGTAAGAGACCTCTTATACTACCCTTTTTATTTTGAGCTATTAATTAATAAAATAACATTAAAATTCCAAAAGAAAATACTTCAGAACCTGAACATTTTTCTCGCCCCATCCAGGTAAAGTGCAGAGTAAACGAATCAAAATTTCTACCGATTGGTCAATGTCCTGTAAGCCTTCTACTTGCTGTTTCAGCGAAGAAATGGCTGCAAAAATCTAATTTCAGCAACCTCACTCATCAAGCATGCACAGAAGACATCATAGGAAAATCAAAAGGGAAAGAGGCAGTACTACAACTAATCAAAAGAAAAAAGAGCAAACCATGCAACTTAATAACAAAGATGACCCAACATTTGACCACTGGGTATCCCAACTTGTTGGATATCACAAGATAAAGTTTTGTTAAAAGTGTGGATGTGGCATAGTTTAAGGCAGTGTAATATAGGTCCAGTTTCAATGTACTCAAAATAGAACAAAAATATTGTGATGAAGTTTTGCTAAAAGTGTGGATGCAGCATAGTTTAAGGCAATGTAACATAGGCCCAATTTCAATGTACTCAAAAATATAGAACAAAAATAATACTAAAATTTAAAGAATAGTACCCAAAATTTATAATATAAGATGTCATGGAAGAATAAGCATCAAGTACATATAAACAAATGCAACAACATTCTCTTGTATCTGACTTGGAAAAGATCCATAGCCTTAAAGACTTGTACATAGCAAAGAACAAAAACACTCCAAAATATACTTACATTTATATTAATTTTGGCCAATTATGAAAATATTAGCACAGAAGACTTAAAACTAGTTCGTGCACTGACAATAAAATTCATGTCACAGGTTACACTATCTCCCCAAGTCCAAATCATCAAAAGGCCTGAGAAGAACTACATATAAGATCTACCAAGCTCTACAAAAAGAAAAGCATAAATCACCAAATTAAGGTGTATTGATGATGGTAGAGGTAAGATCCTCTACCAGGCCATGTATCCATCACCCCCTCCCCCTATCTACATGCTTCCTCCTCCAATACATATTAAAAAAACTGATAGATGAATACCAACCTTCTAGACGCTCCTTCCACACAGCACTTTTTAATTGAGTGATGGTATCTGACTGTATAAGAGAACCTATTCGGCTTTCAATCTCTTCAAGGCTCATTTCAGTAGGCTGCATAATTTTTCATACATAGATAATACAAACTATCATCAGTTATCACATAACAAACTGTGATGGCATATTCATGTCAGAGAGACAGCAGACAAGCAGATATCAATTTACCTCGACATCTTCAGGAGATTCAATTGATTTTGAAGACTTCACTTGTGCAACTCCATCTGCTTTTTTGTTTGTCCCAGACTTTACAGCCCCTCCTTTCTTGATGATGGGCTGGAATGTATAAAATATTCAATATATCAACTCATATGCATAAAAATTTACCTGAGTTACAAGCAAGAAGATGCAATCTTACAGCTGCCCGAACAGGTCTCTTTCCACTAAGCATGTTTGCTGCTGACCTTTTAACAAATGAACTTTCGGAGGTCTGTATGTAAATCAGGTGACAAGAAAAAGTGACATTTACTTTATGGTTAACAAGTTTTTAAAGGGAGGGAAGATCAAAGAAAGAAAAGGAAAATTGGCAGAGGAGAACTCTCAACCTACATATTTAACTACTTTCATCCTGTCTATCTTCTAAGAATATTCATTCAATCACAAAAATAATGAAACAACCAATAACCATCAAAATAAGCAATAAACTCCTACAGCAACACAGGAAAGTAAAGTTGAACTCAGAATTCTCAAACTAAGACTAAAAGATAAGTAAAACCCACCTCTGCAGAAGATGCACTTGTACGTGTATTTTGTGTATTTTGCGAGAGGCTGGAAGATCATTATGAAGTCAGTCCCTAAAAAATATCTGGCAAACACTGGTCAATCTTGAAGTCAGTCCCAACTTAAGTGCTAAAAGTTATTCATATTCTACAGAGCTACTTTGTTTGTCAGTTATAAAGTAAACTCCATAAGGCATTAATCCCCTTAAATACACTGGTCATCATCATTTTTCAAATTGTCAGTTACCCTCACATTTGATTTTCCCCAATCTTGCTGGACTAAGTCATGTTTCCAGTTTCCTAATTTGATTGATTTGCCTCCCAAGCTTAAGTGCTAAAAATTTATGTGATAATAATAATAATAATAATAAACTATAAACTAATAATAATAATAATAATAATATATATATATATAAATTTTATGATGATAGATAACAAAATATAATATTAATTTTACCATTGATAAAATTATTTTGTGCAATATATGTGCGATATGAGTACTGTTGGAAATTGATTTTGTTACTTTGTTACATCAATATCTGGCAAATATCCTAGGTCTCATTTTGTTAGTTTTGCCACTTAAATATGACTTTAAAATGTTTGGGCATGAGGAATTAACATTTAAGTCTAGGGACTGTGACATTTTTCATTTAATTTGATCATATTAATCTAGTACTCTCTTTTGTTGTTTTGTACTTAGTTAATTATAATTAATTATATAATAAGTAAAAAAAAAAAAAACAGATGTCAAGGTATTTTGCTATGGAGTGTGAAGCTGAACGACGAGGAATGATATTTTAAAGCTGGACGACGAGTGTGAAGCTTCTAGGTTACGGACGCGGCAAGGTTTGGAACGATATTTTAAATTTAATTTTTTTTTTTTTTAAGAAAACATGTTCTGCATTTTCCCCAAATGTTTTTTTTTTTTTTTAATGTTTTCAAAAAAAGGTGATGGAACACATCTGCATCCTTATTCTTTTTATTTCATCTCTTTATTTTATGGGTTTTATGTTTATTATTTTACATAACATAACTTCACTTTCCTACACACACATTAAAGAGGTGGGGTCCACATATTTTTCTTTCTCTTTCATCATTCCACTTTCTCTCTCTTCATCATTGTGTGAGTTGGAAACTACTCTTATATTATGTCACATAACATTAATAAAACCCTTATTTTATACTTATTTTGAAATTGATCATGTTTATTTTTCTTCTCATCATTTGAAATCTGGTGGTTTTGGAGCTCCTCCTCCAGCGACCCCTACCAAGGAAGCTGGTCCTCCACCACGTACCCATCCAAAGGACCCTTAAGATGACTGATACGATTAGAGCAAATCAAAGAAATTAACAAGTGCTCCAAGTTGTCTTAGACTTTCATGTATAGCACTCATATCGCACAAAATAATTTTATCAAAAATAAAATTAATATTATATTTTGTTATCTATCACCAAATTTTTTTATATATATATTATTATTACTAATTTATAGTTTATTATTACTATTATTATTATTATTATCACATAAATCAAATAATATTACTATCTTATTATTTTAACTATTGTTAACTCATTAATTAAAAATATTAAATACCAATATTATTAATTAAAAAAATACTAATATCATTATTATCCAAAAAAAAAAATTATTATATTATTATTATTTAATAAAAATATGGGGCATTACACCATCCGTCATTCTTCAAAAAAATTACATAGCACTTATGAAATAGATAGAAGAATATAACAATATTTACAAAATTTAGGCTTTTTATTATTAGAAATTGTTAAAAATGTCTGAACATATAATAAGAAAACAGGAAGCAGCATGAGATCTTAATGCACAAATATTTTAAAAAGATTCCAAAAAACCATTAAAAAAACATAAATAGAAAACTTTTACAAATAAGACAATTTCAAATGATGAGAACAAAAATAAACATGATCAATTTCAAAATAAGTATAAAATAAAGAGATGAAATAAAAAGAATAAGGATGCACATGTGTTCCATCACCTTTTTTTGAAAACAAAAAAAAAAAAACATTTGGGGAAAACGAAGAACATGTTTTCTAAAAAAAAAAAATTAAATTCAAAATATCATTCCAAACCTTGCCGCCTCCATAACCTTGAAGCTTCACACTCGTCGTCCAGCTTTAAAATATCATTCCTTGTCGTCCAGCTTCACGCTCCATAGCAAATGTCTTGGCACCTGCTTGTTTTTTTTTTTTTACTTATTATATAATTAATTATACTTAACTAAGGTAAAAATTATAATTTGGCACCACCTAAATAGAAAATCAAATACTCAATACAAAATAACAACAAACCATCTAAAGCAAACAAATAATAAGGAACATGTATAGTATGGGAATTTTTGTGTTTTACTTTTTTTATTTTTTATCCAGTATATTTTTTTCTGCTTTATTCTAATCAGTTATGTTATTTATTCTTACTCCTATTATTTTAAAAAAGAAATACTTCTAAACTTAATCACAAAAATGATTAGTTGAGCTATTTCAAAATATGGGTTCAATTAAACCAAATAAACATATTTAAAAGTAGGAAAAAAGGTTTGTCTTTTTAAAGGACACAAGATTTTATTCTTTTAGTTTTTGACACTATATCTTACCTGTAAAATATAATTATAATATAAAAAATTACTTTTTTTTTCTATTTCCTCAGTCAGGTAGAGAAAAAAAAACTATTTTTCATGTTATAACTATGTCTACCGGTAAGACATAGTGTTAAAAACTAAAATGACACAATTTGTGTCCTTTAAAAGAACAAACACTTAACCCTTGAAAGTAACAATCATGAAACCAAATGAATAACGAGACTATAATTATGGAATATGAAGGTCCATTGAACTATTATTTTTTGGGTTATTGCACACAAAGAATAGTAAAAAACTTAATTCCTAAATGTGAGAACTTTTCTTCGTGTATATAATTATATAAGTAATTACAATTGAGCCCTAGCTAAAATTGTAAGTTGACTCTAGCTAAAATTGTAACAGTGATGATAACAGATGAAGATATGGAGTTGCTTTCCATGTATGACTAGATAACATATTTCTTTCTTCTTAATTTCTTCTTCTTCTTTCATCTTTTTCCAATTGAGATTTTCTTCTAACCTTTTTTTCTTATTTGCACTCACCACCCAGAACCTAACCATTTTGTGACAAGGCACGATGTTTCGTTCCTTTCTTCCAGATTTTACGAATACCTATTTTTGGAATATGCATTGGTAATTATATTGCCCGTTAGCGAAAAAAGTTGATTTATATTTTTGAACCTTATAAAAGTGAAATTCTTTGTCTTTGCTGACCATAATTGTTTATTGGGTGTTTATAACATGAGTGAAATTCACGTCCCCTTTATTTTATTAACAACTTTTTTGTTGTTGTTGTTGTAGTTATTGATTATATTTCTTTTGAAAAAATGGAGTGTTGTTTTATGTTTACCTTTTTTAAAAATAAATTATTTTAACGTAGAGCTACAATTGCTATTGGTAATGGAATTGAATTGTTTATTGGTGTTATTTGTATTTTATTTCACAACAAGAATGTGAATTTTGGTTATTAATTAGTGAAAACTGTTAAAGAGAAAAATCAATGAAGATATATGTATATATATGGAGTATGAAAATTTCTTACACATATCCATTAACAACTTCATCTTTTTTTGTATTTTTAAAATATCTAAACACTAATTAAATGATTTATGTGGATCCAATGTCATTTAAATGATTTTAGACATTTGTCACTGATTATTCCATGTTTCTTTTTAATTGTGAAGTTTGTTGTCCCTCTATGTTAATGTTATTCACAAGTCATGGCTAGGGGTATAAATGGACCAAGTTAAGTCAAACTTTGACTTTGATAGCCTAAGCCTATGTAAAATATTTGGTACCTATACTGACCTATTAGCCTCTTAAATACTTGATTTATGGCCTGCCATATTATAAAAAACTAAAGAAATCGAATACGACTTGTAAGGCCTACCAAGTTGCAAACTAAAGTTTGTAGGCCCAAATCAAATTAAAATAAAAAATAAAAAAATTTATTTACAAAGATCACATGAAATCAATTTTCATTAACATTACATGAAATAAGCTTTCATTAACATCACATGAAATAATATTATCAAAGATCACATGAAAATGTGCATAAAAATCACATAAAAATTTCATATATGTATATATAATTTGCACTTTCTTTACTAATTTTTTTTATATTATATTCTAAATTTTAAATAAATAACTATTATTTGTTAAAATAACATCGATCCTATTACTTTGAAAATTTTAAATAAATTTTTTTTCTAATAGATTTGTGTAATTATGAATTTTTTTTGATAATTTAATATGTCAAATTTTTTGACCCCAACTAAAATTAAATACTGGCTCCGCCACTGATTTGTTCGCGAGATACCGGCAAGGTATTATGGTTCTTGTTCGAATCCTCCTCCGACCCCTCCCAAGGACCCCAAAAGTGACTGATTATAGTTGGATAGGATACAAACAAATTTATGGTACATTTCATGGTTCAATATAATATGAACTAAATCAATATATGAACTCATTGTTAGTTGAATAGGATATAAACAGATTTATGGTACATTTCATGGTTCCATATAATATGAACTAAATCAATATATGAACTCATTGTTAGTTGAATATGATATAAACAGATTTATGGTACATTTCATGGTTCCATATAATATGAACTAAATCAATATATGAACTCATTGTTTTGATAGATGTTTTGAATACTGATATGTCAAATGGGTATGAATATGATCATGTGGTTTTGGGTAATTGTCATTACTTTTTCGCAACTGAAAGGGTATGAAGAGCTGGTACGAAGATACAACCTTTTTTTCATATATGCCAAGATATTTGGAATGTACATCTTCACATTACTCTCCATCCCTTTTAGAAATCAGTAGTTTTTTTTTTTTTTTTTTTTTTTTTTTTTTTCAATTTAAGCCCTTCAGGTGGAAGTTTCTGCACACGCTATATGAGCCTAGTTCCCATGACAAATATTATACAAAAGGGTCGCTCCGTTTATACATTTTGACATATCCTGTTTTAGGCCCAAGTTACCATTCTTCCCATTTTTACCATTCAAAGTATTATATTTTACAAGTCTTTTGTGAACAATAATTTATCACTCTTACTCTTCACAGTCTTGTGTTGTTGTTTGGATAGAAACAAAAGTAAATTGTTTAGGAATGAACATTTACCTCTAGCATAAAGATGACAGATAATGAGAAGTCCATAACAAGTGGATAGGATGTGCTCTGAACACAAATATAAAAGTTGTAGAGATAAGTTACCAGATAAGATCCTCTTTTGTTAATTATAGGGGGTCACAAGAGATTGTGCCCCTAGTAGGTAATTTGCATGTGACTTAATGATATGATGCACTATTTAATTGGTGATTATTTGTAGTGAATGAAAGTTAAAAGAAAGTGATGGAATAAGATACTCTATGTAATGAAAATAAAAAGTGAGAACAACTTAAGTGGTTCATAACATCAAGATAGAGCTCACTGTAAAAATATTTGAGTTACTCCTAAATTTTTCAGTTGTGGACCAAAATGACAGAAAATATATATAATAATGGTTTGGCCAAATTCTCGAACCTGCGACCTTGACGTTATTAGCACCACGCTCTAACCAGCTGAGCTAATAGAGCAATGAAATGCCCTTACAGTTACTTCTTTATTGCTACACATAAAAATATTGCTGTTTTTATATTTTGATTTTCTTTCCATATCAGACATTACCACTTTCGAATCAGGGTCAAATTAATATTTAATAGAATAATGTTGAGTTTTGCACTTTTTTCTTTATTACTTTTAAACAAAACTAGTTAAACTTCTGTTTAAGAAAATTGAATTCATTAAAGCATAGTGTGCATTCAAAATGAGTAAACTGTAGTTTTAAAAAACTATATAAAGTATAAGAGCTTAGATAATACATCATTAATATGTAAGAAATTACGATATACTTTAAATATAAAGTCTGTCATGTATGATGGAAGGAGCATGATTATCCTGTATCAACTAACCGTCCTTCCTCGTAAAGTGGTTATCAAAACTTAGCTCCTACGCAACGCAACACACATTCTCTTCTTCCTTTTTCCACCAAAAAAAAAAAAAAAAAAAACTCTTCACTCTTTACCTTCCTCTCTCTATCTGAAAATGGGTCACTCCACGTTCACGGTGTTTCCTCATCTCATTGTGTTGTTTGTGTTCCTCTCGCCGCCATCTTCCGCCTTCGCCCCCGACGATCTCCGATTCGGCAAGAAGCTCATCAGGGAACTCAATCTGTTCCCTCCCGACGATGTCAACATCGTTCGCGATCCCGATTCTAACCTCGTACCCACGAAGAAGATCGTGGAGAAGCCTCTCAGGTTCCCCAACTTGGTGGCCTCTGAGTCAGGGGTATCCCTCGACGATTTGGCTCACCACGCTGGCTATTACCCCATTCAGCATTCTCATGCTGCAAGGTTTCTTTCTTCTCCTTTTTTTTTGTGTGCGTGATTTAATGCAGACTTGTTTGTCATGAATTTCCAGTTCCATATAATTGACGTAACGTAACACTAGCTTTTTTTATTTATTCATCCTTACGTTTGGTTTTGGAAGAAAAAAAAATATAAAAAGAGATGAGCATTTTGAAAAAATAAATATTTCTCTTATTCGGATGAAGAGTGTGAAAAGTGAAGTAAAGGGAAAATAAAATCCAAAAGTGAAATTTTAAGATTTTATCTTCATTGAATTTAGCGAATTTTAAGAAAACTCCGATTCATGTTATCAGTAACTTGCAAATGCAAAGTAAGAGACACTTCCCTTGACCCTGCACCTTGTGGGAGCTTTATAGCTTGGATTTAATAATTTTCTCTACGTTTATGTTAGTGGAATGTGATTGTTGCAGGTATAATATAAAATCCATAGTGTGTTTTTGTTATTTATTTCTCACTCTAGGTTGAATGGCGCAGGATGTTCTACTTTTTCTTTGAATCAAGGAACAGCAAGAAGGATCCTGTTGTGATTTGGTTGACTGGGGGACCTGGCTGTAGCAGTGAATTGGCTGTGTTTTATGAAAATGGTCCTTTTAAGATTGCTGACAACATGTCCCTTTTGTGGAATGAGTATGGTTGGGACAAGGTATATATCTCATGTCGTTTGTTGTTCTTTTTCCTGTCTTTGTTATGTATGGGACTTAACAAATTGCTTGTAACCTTTCAGGTATCTAACCTTCTGTATGTTGACCAACCAACTGGAACTGGCTTTAGTTACAGCACTGATAAAAGTGACATTCGTCATGATGAAGATGGTGTGAGCAACGACCTTTATGACTTCTTACAGGTACTTGTGTTTGCTCTAAATATCAGTTATAACACTAGGGTTGTGCATTGTGCTTCCAAACCCTTTTCTTTTTCTAACTTTTCTTAGTTGCTTTTCTTATAAAAACAAAATTTGTCTTAGTTACTGCTAGTTTTAATAAGAATACCTGGCTAAGCTTCACCAGTAATATCTTAAGTTAGCAAGTTTTCTCTTTCCATGTAGGCCTTCTTTGCAGAACATCCCGAGTATGCAACAAATGACTTTTTTATTACTGGTGAATCATATGCTGGGCATTATATTCCAGCCTTTGCAGCTCGTGTACATAGGGGAAACAAGGCTAAAGAGGGGATTCATATAAACCTTAAGGTCTGTTACATTACTTAGTGAGCCATTCTAACTTCCTAAGTTTGGGATATGTATTGAAGGTAAGAAGACTTGCTTAGCTTATTTGAATTGGATGAACAGGGATTTGCCATCGGTAATGGGCTTACTGATCCTGGAATTCAGTATCAAGCTTACCCAGACTATGCACTGGAAATGGGCATAATTGAGCAGGCTGACCATGACCGCATCAACAAATTAATGGTTCCAGCCTGCGAATTGGCAATAAAGCTATGTGGTAATTTACATGTGATGTTGTTCCATGCTCACCTTTCAGTGACGTTGTAATTTACAAAGTGATGAATTCTGATTGGCTAGCTTCTGTTACCTTTCTGCTTAATATTTATTTGATCTTTTCAGGCACCGAAGGAAAAATCGCTTGCACAGCTTCGTATTTTGTTTGTAACACCATATTCAATTCCATCATGTCCCGTGCTGGTGATACCAATGTGGGTAAATCAGTTGCTTCTTCAGTATGTTGTTAACTTGACAAAGTGGCTATAAACCTAAACACTTGAGGGGAGGGCCAAAGAACAACTAATAATTAACTCTGACACACTCTTATGTCGAAGCCCATTGAGTATGTAGCATGGTCAAAATACAGGCTTCTAGTTCATACAAATTCTGATATCATGTTAAACAATCACTCAACCTGAAAAGTTTGTTGTTAAGTGAGGAGCAAAGAAAGGATTTTGACTGACTTGAACAAATTGTTGATGCCTTTACTTTTTGATTTCCTTCCGAGAATAATTTCTTTTGGAAAAAAGAAACAACATACAATATGAGGTTGAAGGAGGAACCAGTTTATTGGGTTGTGGAACATGGTTAAATGTGTGAAACATTTTCCCCAATATGAATAGGCATGCTAATAATTGGCCATTTTCCTAGTCAACTCTGTGACTCTTCCTTTAATACTTTCTTAATGGAGGATAGTTTGAATGAGAAATTTTATAGCAAATGTCAAAAAAGCTTTTTATTCTGCTTGTTGGTTAGAAGAAATTCATGTCCTGATGATATTTATGGAAATTGCAAAGCCTTGAAGGAACATGGGCATATCAAAATTTTGACCAGCAGTTATATACTTATTCTGCAGTACTATGACATCAGAAAGAAGTGTGATGGGAGCCTTTGCTATGATTTTTCGAACATGGAGAAATTCCTGAACCAAAAATCTGTTCGGGATGCACTTGGGGTTGGGAATATTGATTTTGTGTCTTGTAGCAGTACAGTTTATCAGGCTATGCTGGTGGATTGGATGAGGAATCTTGAAGTTGGTATTCCCGCTCTTCTTGAGGACGGAATCAATTTGCTTGTATATGCAGGGGAATATGATCTCATCTGCAACTGGCTTGGTATGTGTTTATGCCTTGCGTATATTTTTGATCTGTTCTGAAGTCTGATGTCTCATCCTTAAGACCTTTCAATGCGATGTAATTGATGAACTTTTTCCTGTTGTTATGAATTCAACGAGTAGGTAATTCAAGATGGGTTCATGCAATGGAATGGTCCGGCCAGAAAGAATTTCAAGCCTCACCTGAAGTTCCTTTCACAGTTGATGACTCCGAAGCTGGAATATTGAAGAATTTTGGACCTTTAAGTTTCCTTAAGGTATTTCTCTCTTTCTCTCTCCACACACAACATGCTTGTGCAGTGAAATCCGTCAACAACTGTCGTCTAGAATCAGCACACTATATAGTACATGAATGATTGCAATACAACGTCGAGTGCAAACTCGTCCTTGCTGCGTAAGCTGTCAATCAATATAATCAAGAAGTATATATACTCCATTTACCTACCAAAATTCCCTATAGCTTGGTAAATTCTGATTCATTTTGACTTTTGATATTATTTATGACAAAAAACAGGTCCATGATGCGGGTCACATGGTTCCAATGGACCAGCCCAAGGCTTCGTTAGAAATGCTGAAGAAGTGGACTCAGGGAACCCTTTCTAAATCTGGAGCTGACGAGGAAAATTTGGTTGCTGAGTTGTAATCTCTTATATTGCAATAGTCTATCAAAAGGGTGCATAAATGTAATGCAGTAAAGAGAAGAAATTTGGGTGGAAGTGACCGGTGTGTTTTTCCCATTAACCTGAATGCATATATCTAAAACGACAGTGAGTCAAGGCCATGCAAGAAAACTATCTGTATCCTTCTTTAACGATCGCATTTCTGTATGACATTCTACATTACTGAATGAGATTTCTCATTTATCGCTGCCACGAAGCTTTTCATAATTAAGTTGTACCTGTGGCCCTAATCTCTCTTTGATGAACACTATTTTTAGTAAAATGAACTTCAACCTAAACTTATTCTAATGTCTCCCATTTGTTAGCAGAAATAGGCTACAGGGAATGCGAAGGATAAAATCTAGTGGGGTACTTGCCTGCTTTTCATCTCTCCTCTGTCCTCCATATTTGGTTTTTGTGGAAAAAATCTATAATACTACAGAAGCATCGAGTTCAGTGCATTTCTAATTCATTTTTATTAGAATATGTAGGCAAATTCTGAGATCTTAAAAATTTGTAGATAATCTGTCTACTTATCCTAATAAAAATGTACTAGGATGAACTTGTGTGCTTTTCCTTGGGCCATCGTTATCTGAACTAGAAGCTGAAAAGGTCATTGGAAATACAAAGACAAAACTAATAAGCACAAACACAAATACAACTAATACACTGAAAAATAATTTAATCAGTTCATTATATGTTTTTTTTATAGTAAAGTACTTATAACTAACTTTAATTTAAAAAGAAAAATCATCAGAAAATCAAATGTTCATATAATTATTATTTTTTAAATGAGGGATGTTATACTTATAATTTATTTTCCTTTACAATAACTTTCTTTATCTTTGAATCAAAATTAAATTAAAGACTCTCACTTAATATTATTTTATATTGTTTTGATTTTGATCCAATAAAATAATAAAGAAAGTGGTTATAAAAAGTTGTACGAAAAAATATATTGTAAATATAATTTCTCTCTTTCGAAATATAATACTATAAATTAACAATTTATATAAGAGAAATCATGTTACATGATATAATTTCTTTTTCCTACTTACTCGAAAAAGTGTGAGGGCCACTCCAATTTTTTTTTTTTTTTATGCAGTTGAACCCACAATATTTATGTGTCTATGACATGACACAAGTTGTATCATGTAATATAACACTTCTATTTTTCTTTATATAAATGATCCTACAACTTTATATAAGTTTTATTTAGAGAAATTATAATCTCATTTTACTATCGCATAGAAATATGTGCATCTTTTTTTTTTTTTCTTAAAAATCAATGGATCACTCTCACTTTGTCTCTCAATAAGAGAACTTATCTCCATTATATGAGAGAAATAAATCCCCCTTTTATTTATAACTATAACAAACGTATTAATGTAATGTACATATATTATTATTTCATTATTTTACTGTACAGAACTTTTTAATATTTACGTAAAAATTATCAATTTGTGTTGGTTGAAGTGATGGGAATTCGAGTCTTTTAACCACATGATATTGAATTTAATTCTAAAATATGTATGGAACAAATATTATTGAACGGAATTCCATTTAGTTGAAGAGTATGAGAAGAAGAAAAAATTATTAATCTCATAATTTAATCAAATTCGTTATTATTAGTTTTTTAAATGTTCTGATTAAATGGATGTATTATATATATAAAAATCATTATCAGTAGTGTGCGTGTCTGAGAGGGTCACATAATATTATCCCTTGTATAAGAAAACAAAGAATTGTGCACCAAAATCATGTCATCTGCCATTGGATTCTCTGCAAATTGCTGGTTGCTCTGTCATGCGCGAAACCCTCCTTCATGTTCTGTAATCTCCTATGTTTCAGTGTCTTCTTGTTCCTCCTTGAACCGGGTGCCTCACTCTAAGCTCAAGTATGTTCAGAAAGTATCCTCTGAAGGTGAAATTCTGAGCTTCTTTGCATCTTCTTCATTTTGAAACACCCATTTGAGACATGTGTCTTTCTTTAAATGAATTTCATTATGTCAATGCTCCAAGTCATAGATAGGTGTTCTTAAATCTGGGCCTTTTTTCCGTGGTCAGTTCTAGTTTTGTTTAAGTGAGAGGTTTGGACTTGGAGCTGCTGAGTTAATGTGATTTGGGTTTTAAAAAAAAATGCATTTTTATAATAATATTATAATTTTCAAACAAAGAAATGAAGGGAAACAAAGAGAAGGATAAGGTAGCTTTGGCTATACAAGTTTAGATTATTCAGAGATGACATTTGGGGCTCATGGTTAAGAAATAGAAGCTATTTATGAATACTAAATGATCAGAGATCCTTGGAGGACTGCTTGGACTTCTGTCTTCAGCTTTGGATTACAAGTTTAGGAATATTCTACTGAAATTTTTTTAGAGGCCAAAGGGCTTTTGCCTCTCAATAATAACTAAAAAAAATTATGGTCAATGTTAAACATCGATTGATTCTCATTTCTCACTCAAGCAAAATTTTAATTTTTACTTGCAAACTCAGAATCAAACTCAAGGGAAAATTCTACTGGGCAACTGTAAGACTGGTAAAGAAGGGTAGCACATTAGCAGAATGGGAGATATGAGTGGACATAAGTAAAGGTTAAGACCGAATGTAACCAAGAGAAAGTTGGAGTTGTATAGTAACTACTCAGCAGAACATGAAGGAAACTCGGCTTCTCATGTGAGAAGAGGACCAATAAAGGGCTAGTGATAAAAGTGGATCAAATAGAATATATTCTAATTAGAAGGGAAAGAGGAAGACCTAAGAAAACAGAACAAGAAGCCATTGGGAAAAAAAACCTTATACGAAATAGTTTTATGGAAAAATTGGTTCTTTATATAGAGCCTAATTAATAATGTCAACTGGTCCATGTAGCAGACACCACCTAATCGAGTAAGACTTGGTTGCTGCTGTTGTTGTTGTATGTACCATTCTGATAGGAATACATGCAACCATAGACATGTGACTTTGGTGGTGTGCTGATAGAAATCCACCCATCATAAGGGTGTACACTAGGAACAGCCATAAAAGATATTTCTAACAGTTTGGGGGAAGAGGAGTAGGATAAGAGTGGAGAGAAGGTAGATTGAGGGGTATCTGGTCTGTTGTCAGTAGTTTGGGAGAGTCCTGAGGATCTCAAATGCTGAGGAATACATTTCCCTTTCCATAGCTATACTGTAATCAAGTTTTACTTATATATCCTACTGATATCTGCTATATCAATACTACACAAATGTTTTTCTTCTCATTTTTTCTCTCAAGCTTTGCTCGGTCCTATGATATACATTTGGCAATTTACACATCTGCTGCATCATTATGATGAGAAATATAAAACATTGCTTTCAAAGAGTCTGTTATAAACACATCATATCTTTGTGGTGAAAACTTTTCACCATGTCACCTTTCACATCATATAATCTGTTACTTGATTGTTAGATATTTTTTTTTTTTTTTTTGATAACAGATTGTTAGATATTTTTCATGAATTTGGCTAGTGACTTCTTTTAGGGGGATAATTACCATCTTCTTCCTTTTATCTCTTCCAATTAAACCAAAAAATCATAAAAAGGTAATTTGAGGATGAGAAAACTGAAAATCATGTTTTTGTCATTTATAAACATTGATAATTAGGCGCAGAAAACTTCAATTTACCTTCCTTTCCCAAGACACAGGGAAGTCTTAGATATTTTGCACATTTCTTTTTTTAATTTCTTTTTCTTTTTCTCTTTCCATCCCCTGTTTTCAAGAGGAAGTTGGATACTTTAAACAGCAGCTTATTATTTTTGGTGCCCATATTTTATTTAAATAATTAATAATGTTTCCATCGATCAGGACTTCCTAATGAGTTGATTGAAGACTCGAAATTTGTTCCTCTGAATACCGAGGATCCTCGATATGGTCCACCTGTAAGTCATGGTTAGTTTTGACTCAGTTGAATATGATGTGTTTATTTTACTTACTATACTTACATATGTCTGCCAGGAGCAAATAGTTTTCAACATACACACTGTTGCAAAAAGTCTATTACATTTTCTGGAAATCAGAAATTGTCCTAGTGCCGGATGGGCAATATTTTGTTTTCACTTCTTATGTATTTAGCTTTGAAAATCTAATTTGATCAACTTTTTGTGGATCTTCAGTCAGTCTTACCTGAGATCAGACTTACTGGTTACTGCTGAAGAACATCAATAATTTTGCTCTGATTTCATATGTTGTTAAACACAAAACTTTCTTTTGCTTTGCAGGCCTTATTGTTGTTGGGCTTTGAAGCAGATGAAGCGTTGAAGGTGATATCCCCATGATCCATGTAATAGGATATGATAATACTTGTAAAGAAATGGTGTGGTAGTTTGATATTTGACTTTGATCGAAACATTTAGAATGCTTTCTGCTTTTTCTTTTGTTTAATCTCTCCTCTGTCCCTCTTTGTGTAAGTGGCATTCAGTGTACTTGAATTTCTAAACCAACCTTTGCTCTGATTATTGTTTGTGCTTTCAATGTGATCACCCAAATTATCTATAGAGTAGCTTTTCTTGATATTTTCGCTACTACTGAAAATCCTGATTGTAAACTGCTAGAATTACAGCACGAAGGTTACCTTGTATTGGTATTACTATTATCTTACATTAAATTACAAAAATGATATAGCCAGCAGCTTAAAATCATTATTCATTGCTATTTTACCCTAGATCTATTAGCATTCAATTGCCTAGCCCCTATATTCTTTTATATTCTTTCCACATATGCCATTCAATAATATAATGTGTGTTTCTGACCTTGTGCAGATTCAACAGCTTTTGAAAGAGTTAGATGGTCAATTCCTGAAGGTAACATCTTTTTTCTCGTCTTTCATGTCCATATTTTATTGGTAAACCAAGAAAGATCAATGGAAATTCCCTGGTAATAGTAGAGAGAGAGAGAGAGAGGTTAATTATTTGTTTACTGTTTCCACCACACACATCTTGCTCTTAGACTAAGATACCATTCTTTATAATGAGGAATTTCATTGTCCACAACAAATCAACAAAATGGATGAATAATAAGTAGCTGCTCTTATAACTCTGCCTAAACATTACATTGATAAAATCAAATAGTTTTCAGGCAGTTTTATTCGTCGGGATAGTATTATGGATCAATAACCAGTTAAATAAGGATTTTCAAAAATCAGACCTTTTTTATCAGATGGCATCTGACTTTTTCTTACATATGCTATATAACAGTATGGATCTAGCTTGTTTGCCCTGATACCTGTAGTCTTATTACATCTGAGTAAGCAACATAGGTAATGTGTCCTTTGAGAACGAGTATACTGCGAGAGGTAGAAGCATGGCCCCATCATCAAATTAGAACTAGTGGTCTGATTAAACAACAACTTAAATGGCTGAAGATTTTTTCACAGTCACAGCTATTTGATTTAATCCATGCTATACTTCTTTGACCTAGACGATGCAATGAGCTATTCTTAGCTGTCTACAGACCATTGCTTCAAGATTCTATGTTTTCCTAGAAAATCATCATCAAAAAATTATCAAGAATTTGATAGAGTAAATCGCATAGCATAATCAATTATGGACGCCACATTAAAAAAACAAGGAAAATGAATATCTATATTCTATCTTTTACACATCTGTGACTAAAATCTGAATGTAATGTATTGCATTGTAGGTCATCTATTGCACCGAAGACATGGTTACACGTTCGCTTTGGGAGGCAATGCATACAACACAGCACAGTTTGGAAGAGGTCAAGGTAGAATTTTTGGAACAGCTAATAACGTACTATTTTCATCTAACTTCTGCTCTCTCCATCTACTCATGGAATTGTGCACACAAGGTGATAATAATTAGAACAAACAATTTTGTGCTAAGAATAAGCTTCTCTAATGTGATTGTTGCCAGGCATTCATTTCTTTGTATGAATTGTTATGTAGATTGATGTTATAATAGGTTTTCTAGTATCGAAGTTGTGGAGAATTCTCACCCGTTTAAAGAGTGACCGTTACCTAACTTTGTGAGCATAAGAATCTAGAACTTCATAGCAATCAATATATAAGTTAATAAATATGCTTCTAATGTACTAAGGCACTTTCACAAGGTTACAATGCTTTCCTTTACTAAAGGAGTAAGGTGTATGCATATTAATATTTCACTCAGTCATATGACATTCCTCAAATTCTAAATTATATTCAAATCTCTGCATGTGTTCAGTGTTTTGTGTTCTGCAGATAGACAAGTCTCTTCCTCGGATATGTTTCTTATCTGGTTTAAGCGGAGAGGAGATGATGATGTTCATAGATGCTTTCCCTGAAACTGGTAACAAAAATCTGATCATATCCTCAATTATGATATCACATCAGTCAGTCATGGGTGTAACAGTATCTGATTTCATCAACTATGCCCTTAGGGTCTGTTGAAGATGAAATCTTCATTTTTTTAGTCTTGGCAGGGCAGATTCCATGTGCCTAGAATAATAGATCTACTGGTTTAACTTTCACACACATTTACCACAGTTTGGAGTTTCTTTTATGCAGGACTAAAACCAGCTGCATTTGCTGCTCTTGTTCCCAACAGTGCTAATAAACCACTGCAGGAGTTGATAGAAGAAATAACGGGAGACCATGAAATGTTGGTAGGTGTTTATTTCTTGGAAATTTTTACCATTCTCAATGAGCTTATGGTTATGAGAGACTATCTTTTGTGGCATGCAGACTGGAGAACAGTTGTAAAGAGTTAAATTCCCACCGAATACCAGGAGAGCAATTGCAGAGTATGGTTGGAAAAGCAATGTGATTTGATTGAGACCAATTATTTTTCGCTACATCGTGGAAAGAATGTACGCATTATAAATCTGAATGTGCTTGGATTTTAAGTATATAAAAGTTAATTTAGCAATTGATTATTTGCTCAGAACCAAATTTGCTATATCATACCAGTACTTTAAATATGAGAA